TCTAAACTAATCCCACAGCGGCCATCTTCTTGGTAAAAAAAATACGATTTTTGATAGTACCCAGCTGCCTTTCTGGGCACAGAACCAAGAGGCTTCTGGAAGCAGGGCAACCACACATTGCGTAGTGATTGGCAACAAGTTGCCAATGAAGGTGACATATATATATTGATCAAAATTGCTTCCCACTGGAATAAACTTAACTCGAAAAAATGTTCGAAAGTTCCACGAACTTTTGGGGCAACCTAATATCTGACAAGAAGAGGAAGGAAGAATCATTTGTTCTGTGTGGGTGGTGTTGAGATTTTCGTTCCCGTACTGTCGAGACAGACTAGTGCTTCCGCCGTCAGTTCCCCGGTCAGAGTAGACTAGCTCTCAATTGGAGTGAAAAAGCTAAGTGGGACCGTTGGGAAGATGGTTCGCAGTAAGGGGAGAAGAAAAGGAGAAAAAAATTCACTCACGTAGCATTATTGAAACCTATATATTCTCCGCCAGCTATTTTTCGATACTGCGTGATTACCTTGAAAATGTTCACCACTGGTTTCAATAGAAGTTAGAAATGAAACAATAACATAGACTTCACCCACATGGTCGAAGCGGTCGGCCATATTCCAGGTGTTCTTAATAAGCGCTGTGACAATGATGGCACCCGAGTTCACCATTGGATTGTGTGGCTTATCTGAAAAATGAAAATTTGAAAGTTGAATTGAAAATTTGAAAGTACCAGACGGCCCTTCGCCCCCTTCTCCTTCCCACCCACTATCTTCCGAAATTGTTCCAACTACGTAGAGTACCCACCCACTATCTTCCGAAATTGTTCCAACTACGTAGAGTAGATGAGGGGGAGGCGTTGGCGCGCTTACCACCGGCGCGGTCCTGGGTTCAAATGCCGGGTCGTCTCCCGGGTTAACCAAGCCTTCTACTCTCCGGGACGGTAAATTGGTACCAGATTCGTCTGGGAGGATAAAACACTGACTTGTACATCGGCTGGCCACCGCAAGTCATATAGG